ATATATATATATATATATTTAAAAAAACATTAATCTAACGCTGTGTAGAAATTTGAAATGCTTACGCGCTTTAAAGTGCTCATAAACATTCTATCTTTATCCTTCATTAGACATAAAGATAGAAACGCTAAAAGCATCCAAACCGAGCGCAGTCCCAATCTCTTATACACTCATCAACTGAACAGTTGTAACACTTTTTCCGATAGTATTTTACATGAAAAAAGTTTCGGAATACAAGCTACGAGTGATTGATTCTTAATTATGGATCTAACTATTTAGGTTCAACCACTTTATAAGTAAGACAGTTTCAAAATCCATTGAAAAAAAAAGCTGCAAACTTTTAGTTCATGAGTGTACATATAGTAAACAAAATGTTAACAATATCAGTTTACTAATAAATTCGATCAGAATATTGCAACAAATTGATATCAACTGTTTATGTTTGCACTAGGCTTATCATATTTTACAAGGCCACACACTAAGGGCTGCCACAAACAAAATTCCGTAACAGGCGTAAACTTAAGCCGATGAACCAATCAGGATATTGTTTTAGACCTACGTAATCTAATGGAAATAGAAATAGTAGTAAACTTATTCATAAGGAAAATTTCAACCAGTTGCTATTACGCTTATTATTACGGAATTTTGTCTGCAATAGCCCCAGGAACTTTGACCGGACCGTAATCATTATTTTTATCGAACTGAAATCGATAATCGAATCGAAATATTGTGCAAGTCGATATATTATAGCCGGACTGAAAAAGTTTTTCGGTTCGATTTCAGTCCAGTTTTCGGTTCGGGTTTTTTAACTTCTTCGGTACGATTGTCGAGTCGACGATTATATCACATAGTGACTACTTAGGAGTCTTAAAGAGCAATATTACAGTCCACGGAGTGTTACTTATTTCCTTGCTTGATTATAATAGTTTGCGTAAGATTAATATGTTATTTTATAGAAAATTATAAACAAGCTGTAAATAATTAAAACGATCAGAAACGCTGCGAATTGTTGACATAGAAGAAAAAAAAGTGTAGCAAAGAAAGGATAGAAATGATTACAGTGCTTACACATCTCTTATTCCAGGTTTCTTTTGAAAAATGTTCCTTTCAATAAACGTGAATTTTTATATGCAATTTATGCTCATTGTATTACCTTTTTCTGCAATAGATAATCATACATTCGTAACTGTAATAAAAAAAACTGAAATCTAAACGATTACGATCATCATTATCGATAAAAGAGTTGAAACTGCTTGGATTTCGGACTTTTCCGAGCCTGAACTGAAAAAGAGCGAAAAAGATTTCTAAAAAGACCGAAATTGTTATCGGTAAAAGGACTGGAATCGAAAATTGGATAAGGTCTCTGACCGTGACCGTAACCGGATCGAAATTTCATTTCGGTCCAAGTCCCTGGATAATCCTAAATGACATATAAGTTGCATAACCATAGCATAAAATCGCTGGACTAATGAACATCTTATGTAAACCAATATGGCGTTTTTATGTCGGATGCTTATCCAATAGTCTTATGCTATGCAGCTTATGTCATTTTGTGTGCGATCGCCTTAAAGTCTATTGAGATAATCTGACAATAGACTGCAGTTAATCTGCAATCTTCTATTTTAACAGATTTTGATGTATTTTTCTGTTAATATCTTGTTGACAAAATTAACATTTTGCACTATTTTTAATAAATTTTGCTATTTGGATTTTTTTTACATTTCTTTTAAGCTAGTTTATAATAAGAATAATAAGTTTCTTACAAAAGCATATTTATCAAATATTAATAGATATTATGATAAACAATTCATATTACAGAATATTTTTTAGTTGTTATATTACATAAACTGCTAGTGTCGGAGATTCGAAAATAATTGGATGGATTCGTTTTCGGACGGATTATAACTCAGTTATATTTATCTGAATCTATCAGATCATTTAATGTCATTCGCATCATTCATTATAATTATAATTGAATGAGTAAAAAAATAAACACACATGTTCTTATCTTCAATATTACGTTATTATAAAATTCCGAAAATTTTTATGCAGAGATTCGATATGAAATTCGATCAATGTATTATAGATATAAAAATATTAAAAAATAATAATAAATTATTGTCCCATGTGCATTTATCATTACAAAAATTGTATTTAATAATTTGATTCATAATTCATTTATATGTAGTATATATATTGTACCAAGAATAGGATACAAGCAGCATTGGGGACGCAGAAGGAATCAAGGGAATAAAAAAGTCTTATATTATTTTAGGATATTTGCTGTAATTTTTGATTTAAAAAAACCGTCTAAGCCAATGACGTCATTTATACCGAGACTTAATATGCGTACTAATCAGTAACTTTCTATTAAATTATTTTAATTTCGGCCATGCATGTAAACGTATACACGATATAGCTATTTAATTAATCATTTAGATGCATATTGTATCAGCTTAGTACACCGTTCCTTAAATGTATTGTCAAAATTAAAGCCTCATCTACAATAATAGTCATCTATACAGGTAGCCAGTGTCGCAGGTATACTGTTTCTAGTCGTATGGTTGTCGCAGTAGCAAGAAAACAAAGGCATTGATCTCTGTTACATGGCACGCTTTACGCCGAAGTTATAACATCGATATTATAGCCAATCATAGCTATTCCTCTGAAGATTGGAATGACTGTGATTGGGCAGTTTCATAACATCGATGTTATAACTTCGACGTAAAAAGTGTCGTGTAAACGTAGTAATTAAAATAGACTTTAAATGTAAAATAGACTTTATAGAATGGTAAATAAGACAATAACTGTGTCTAGCAGTAAATGTTCGATGTTACAAAAGATTACATGTTAGATAAGGACAGATGCATTTGAGTGAGACAGAACGATAAATATAAGAAATGAATTAAAGATGTCACTATTATTAACTTTTTTAATTTGGAATTTAAAAAATCTGTACTATTGGCATCGATCAAGTTCGACCGTTATTCCAACATCCTCTTACAACCGGATCTATAACACAGATCTGCAAGGGTTTGTTGTTGGGCAGCTGAGAGCCATTTCCGCACCAGTTTTTTGCGTAGAATCCGAATCCGAGCTGAGAATTGTCCCATCACGTCAGGGTTTTGAGATATTTGAGGTAATGTAACCGAAAAATGGCTATTTTGGGGATGTTTGAGGTTAGAAAAAGTGTGTAACAAAATTTTTGTAATTTTTTCTACCTATCTAATCTTTTAGTACTAGTTTTCCTCTACAAAAACAGCCCCTGAGCGTTGCCCTACGTTGTTCCTTTCAAAAGTTATGTCTATTTTAAGATCACATATTCGCGGTATTTGACTGGTTGCTTGTTAATGAGGTTATCAAAAATGAACGGATTCACACCAACGTTGGTATTCAGGGGTTTTCGAGGTTGCTGATCAAGAACCTGTTGTCAGTAAATATTAGAAGTATCTCCAGGTACCTCTAAATGGTCAAAGAATGGGGAATGAAATCGAAAATTTCGATACACGACGAGGAAATTTCTCCCTCGGAGTCTTCCAAGACAAAGATCACAT